TTCCAAATCTCATAATTTGGATTATATTGAAGGTCTGTAAAGATTTTATAAGCATACATGTGTTCTAATTCACAGAACCACAATTCTTCTTGTATGCTTTCTATATTATACATTCTTGATCTAGGTTTCTAAATATTACAAAGTTTGCATCAGACAAGGGTTTCTCTACCAAGTTCTGTATTATAATATTCCTGGCTTCTGGGGTTTTCTGGGTTAAGGGCTTCATAATATGGTTTGTAACAAGCAGTGCAAGCAAGTTTTTCTTCTAATTTGTATAGTTTGTTAGGTTGTTGCGAGGTATAGCAATAACAACAATGATGAGTCCTCTTTTTACTATAGTAGGTCATTCTTCTTTCTTCTATTTGGTCTTTGTTATAACCATATTTGTAAGTTAAATTGTCAAGTTTAAGTTGGGCAAGAGGGCAGTTAATTTCAATATGACCAAATTTATTACAACTATAGTATTAGTTGTCTGGACAATCCTTGAACAAGAAAGCAGTTTATCTACAAGTTCTACAGTTATTTGACCTTTCACGTTTGTTGAGGCAGTTAATAAGTATATGTCCAAATTTGTTGCAATAATAATATTGATTTTTGGGGTAATCCTTGTACTGGTGGTTAGCTTGGCCACAGGTTTTGCAAGGTGGTTTTCTTCATCGAGGTTGGTAGGTAGTCCATTCTTGGTCTTCATCTTCTGAGGATGCAGAAAATGCATAAGCTTCATGGAGTGTTGGGTACTCCTGCTCATATAATTCAAAGTCTTCAGCAGTAGTACAGGTTGATTTCTTTTCTTTAGGCTTTTTTTGCTCATAAGAAGTATCAAAAACAATCTTTTTTTTCCTTCTAATAGAGAGTATATTAACATGTTTTCCAATTATAATTGGCTTCTACTTTCTTTGACCAATCATTACCAAGTAAAATAGAATAAGAGATAGCAGGTACAACTTCTATATCTAAAGAGATAAGTTGATCTTGGATCCTAATAGGCAAATTTCTAATAATTTCAAGAGATCTGGAGGTGGTACTAGTAGTAGCAACAATGAGGTTTTTTGATGGCTCTTCAATTTTAAAACTTAGTTTCTTTACGGTTTGGTGCAAGATCATACTAACAGAGGCTCTACTATTAATAATAGCAGGGTAAGTACAATCTTGGATATCAATATAGCATTTGACAGAGGTAATAGTGCTAATGGGTTGAGATTTGGTATTTTCTCTATTGGCTTTAGTAATATAGGTGGTTAGAGCAGTTCTAATAGA